GAGAAATGGAGCGCGCCTGCCTTCTTTTTAAATTGACTATATGAAAGCTTCTTAGATAGTGTGGCATTTATCATCAGCCTAAACTAAAAGAATACAGTAATTCGCAAAGAAGTCTTTGCTATTTATTTCACCTTTTGGATTGCAAAATCCTCAATACCATGATGATGAGAAAGAAGAATTCGTATTATACTCCTGGAATAAAGTAAGAATCAGTTAACTGAACAAGTGTAACTAAAAGATTTTTCGTTAAATATGAATTAGCCTCCCATGAAAAGCTGTTCCAATTAATTAGTAACTTATAAATCAGTGCCACAATTAAATTATCAAATAAAAATAATGTACAAAAGAGTAGGGTGAGATTACAGAATTCAAAACTATTCTCAGAAAGGCAGCTTACTTTCCCAATATTCCTAGCAATATGGTGGGATCTAAAACATTTTCTTGCCTGCATCAAGTGCCAAACTAACTTACTGTATGTGAATTGAAAGTCAATTGACAAATATTAACTGAATTCAATAAAACATATATGTTTAATATATGACTATATAGATATCTTGAAGGTTGCTTCTTGTTGACTTGAATCTGATTATTGTCTAAGTGAAAGAAACAGAAAAACATAATTTTTAAATATATTTTAGTTCAAATCTTAATATATTCTTGGAGCTATCATTACTTATCTGTTTGCATGTTTGTGAGTTATTTGGAAATAAAACAAATTTCCACTAACAAGCTCTTGTCTCTCCTCCACCATGAATATAGTAGGGTATGCGTGCATTATTTCATTTCATGGACAGAGAACGTATTTTGATTATGAGATAGAATTGTTTATTTGAAGATGAGGAGATAAATCTGTTACAAATAAAATTAGAGCTTTTTGGCATTGTGATGGTATTTGTGTTATAAATTGAAATTTGTTTAACATACTCAATACTTGTGTACAGAGAACCACGTGATGAGCTTAGTTGTCCAATGAGTGAAGTCACCACTGGAGAGTTCCCTTTGCTGTTTCAGATGTTGAGTCTGGGCAGTAAACTAGTGGGATCTTGAAATTCCATATGGATGGAGGCAGATGTACTCCTAGGCTCCATAGCCAGAGTCATATCCATAGTTTTCAAGATCAGAGCCCCATCCCAGTCTACAAACAATGTTACATCCACAACCTCAACCATAGTTCTAGACTCTAAGAGCTACAGTTCCAACTTTGTAGCTGCCATAGTCATTGATGGTATCCAGAGTGGTGATTTGGCAAGATACATAGTATGAATACTAAAGTCTGTTTAGATACACTTGTATGGCCTAACAGGCAAAGAAATCAAATAGTTACTTTTTGCTATCAAATCTTAGAATAATTCTATGTGCTATATTTGACACAGTCCAGACATAAGAAGAAGTCCTCCATCTCTTTATAGCCTGTGAGCATACACTGCCTTTTCTCCATGGTGTTACCAAAACTTATGACACCATTTTTATAAGAGGAACTTTCTTTCTTCAAACCCTGTACCCACTCTACCCTAAACAGAGCTCTTCGTAGACATGCTAAATAACAGAGTTGCAGTGTTATTTTGAAATTAAATAATTCTTGATCTCTTGGTTTCTTTAAATGAGTAGGCTTTGCTTATTATTAAATGAAAGAATGTGGTTAAATTAAATTGTTATAGCTTTTCAAAGTTATCTTACCCCTCACAGTGAGGTTCTTTTCAACTGGTAGGAAACATTTGAAAGCCTTGAAGGCATCAACTCACCTGCTGTGTGTGTCACTAGGGAACTTAACAGGAAAAACTTGAAATGAATTCTTCCATTTTTTAAATCCTTTTTTATAGAACATTGATTATTATAGCTAAAAAGCTTTGTTTTAATAATTTAAAAAAATAAAACAATTTTGTTGAAACATGGCTTGAATTCATTTAAATATTAAACAGAGCCCATGATAATTAAATATCTATTTTGTAAGTGGTCTTAGAAGTTATTCAAAATTTAACATTTTACACACTGGCATTTCTGCATATTACACATCTGGAGTGCTATTATAAAATACAGATTACGCTGGGCATGTAGATGTACACCTTTGGTCCCAGCACTCAGGAGGAAGAGACAGTTGGATTACTGTGAGATCAAAGCCAGCTTGTGATGTTCCACATAGAGAGTTACAGTCACTATTACCTCACTTCCTCTGAGTCATCTCTGTACCCATTTTGCAGTACCAGGAGGGCCCAGTAATATAAATTTCTCTGAGTTCAATCAACTTTCATTCATCTTAACTTATTCTATATAAAACATATGTATTATAGTGTAAAGTATAGGTTTTTTACCCTAATCCTTTCCTTCTCTTTGATATTATTTGTTTATTTACAAGGTAATAGCTAACAAGCACCTCATATGATAATATATATTAAGACTCAAATGTTGAGAATACATTGTGTCACCAGCAACCTTTAACACTGGAGATGTGTTCAGCCTCTGAAACTTTGAGTACATTGTAACAAGCCAAAATAGAGGAATTAATATTAAAGACAAAAATGTTTCTCAGTTGGCCCTATAACCATGGCCCTATGGTCATTTGTATACATACTTAAGGGTGCTGCAAAATTTGCCGAATTTTGACTCAGATGTAGACTCAACTTTGCTTAAACATAATTAATTATTGCTCTGTGCCTTTACCTATAGCGATAACTTTCATAACCTTTAATTTGACCACTCTGGTGGCTCTATAGGGATATGAAGCTATTGTTTTAATTTGATTTACAGGATATCTAATTGTTAAACTATCTTTACCTATACTTACAGGTCACACTTTTGGGATATGCCAATTCAAGTATTCTGTTCATTTTACTTGTGCTTATAATATTTTATTATTGATTAATGGAAAGTCTACATATTTTGGTATAGATGCTTTATCAGATTTATATATTGAAAATCTTTTCGTTCACAATATGATTAGCTGTATTTATTTTTATGTGCTTTCTCTTTATGATTTGAATGTGCTAATATAATGAAATCTAAATTATTATTTTTTTATATTTAGTACATTTTGGTCTTATTTAAGAAATCATCCTGTCTTGAAAACCAATGCAGGAAACAGTAGAGGAAGATACTGCATGTTGAGCTCTGGCCTTCACATGACCATGCACAGTCCAAACACATACAGTGTTTGATAATCTTATACATGGTATTTTCTGACTTCTTCATTTTAGTTGTTTATTACACATATAAGCCAACACTTACCAATGTGAATATTTCATCCTCATTAACACATGATAAAACCAGAAAACCATGAGGGAGAGCTTACTACCATTAATTTGCTAAATAGACACAACATTAAACTGACTCCAATTGATTTATCATTATATACCCATAGATCAATGTATCTCTCAACTCTCACCAGAGAAGCTTCTTCATGTAGCAGATGGTGATTCACTCAGACACCCACAACTGGCCAACATGCAGGGAATCAGATCACAGAGTGCTTGTCCCTGTGTGGGACACCTGTATCAAATGTCTGCCACCAAGTTTCAGGGACCACAACAATTATATTCCAGTTGTGAATAAAAAGGCAGAAAGATTTTAAGAGAGAGAGTTGATAGAGGACCACAAGGAAACAGTTTTCCAGGCAGTTGGCAGTTACTCATATGAACTTAGAGTAATGGTGACAGCATGTACAAGTCCCAGATAAGCTCAAGGAAGACAAAAATCTCAGCATAGAAATGAAGTGGGAAAGAAGCCCCAACCTCAGCTGAAAAAACTATTTGCAATTGGCAATTGATAGCTGCTAGGAAAGGGAGAGTCTGTTGTCTTTAATATGCAATGCTGAGTAGGTTAGATGGGCTGCAGCAGATGGATCCACACTGAGAGCATTTGGGAACCCAAATTTAACTAAATAGGCATATATATATATATTACATATATATATAATATATATATATAACATGAAAATATGCAAGAGGTATTAAGGTATTAACGGTAGGGGAGCAGATAGGGGAGGGTTTCTAAGTATGATAAAAATATATTGTAGGAAAAAAAATCAGTAAAAGTGAAAAAATCACAAATAAATCAGATTTTAAAATTCAGTTTTGTCTAGTTAGCTCTACCAATTACATATCATTTCACAATCTAATGATCCTGCTGTGTTGGGTTATCCCTAGGTTAAACAAAGTTGATGCTCCAGAAAGTAAGATATTCTGAAGTTGTCCTTCTGTTTTATCTTGCAGAGAGTGTCAGAAGCAGTAAACTCAATATATAGTAATAATTTGGTAACTCTGCATTGTAGAGTGTCAACTACTTTCTCCAAGAGGTTACATTAATCACTCTTATTTATTGCTACATGTAGTCAGTAGAGAAATACCATCAATAGCTAAAAGCAACCTGTTGTCACAATAGGTCAAATTAAGTATAATATTCCAATGGAGTTACAGAGCTGTCACTGCTTTGATGGTGTCCAATAACAGGGACCCAAAGATAGCTCTTCCTAACTGGCTAAATAGACCTGTTCCTGCATTTAAGAAGAAGTCTGACTATCGCTCCTTCATTTTAATATTTTAATGCTGTTTAAATGTAACATTATTTACTACTTACTTGTTTTCAGATCCAACTAAACTATAAATGAATAGGTTTAAAATTCATCAAAATGAAAAACATTAAAAAGAAAGATATGTTGAATGTGGAACATCAGTGACTACTCATGTATTCAGTTGTGATGATTATATAAGGGTATGGCCAGAATTCTAAGATGACTTGCTGAAAACACTCAATGAACAGAATATATAACAAAAGCCATAGACAGTGTTTCTATGAACAAATGAGTAATTAAATGCAATTCATGCCACTTCACATTAAAATAATTTATTGCAAAGTGAACCCAAATATTCTACATTTGTAAAATTAAGAAATCTTTGGAAAGATGAAGTGGGAAATTATATCTTTTCAAATTAAACTCTTAACTTGTTCATGTTCTTGACCTGGTCTTCAGTGGCTTCCGTTCAATATTCATTCCCCAGGTCAGGGTTTCAGTAGAAGCTGGAGAATCCATATCCTCCATAGGAAAGTGGGCAGCGGTAGCCAAACCCGTAGCCTCCAAAGCGAGAGCCATATCCGTAGCCTCCAAAGCCAGAGCCATAGCCAGGTCTGCGGAAGTTGCCACATCCACAACCATAGCCATAGCCCAGGCCCCCAAAGCCTCCATAGCCATAGCCCAGGCCTCCATAGTAGCTGCCATAGTAGCTCATGGTGTCAAGGATGTAGGTTTTGGTTTGCTGGTCAAGGCAAGATCCTGAGTATGAATGTCAGTATATGTTGGGGAAAGCTTATATACCCTGGGCAGAACATGTGATCAATAATATGCATTCCCTACTTTGGCATCATTTTTCTTTAATTACAATTACTTAAAAGCACTCATTAATACAATGTCCACTGACAAGGAGAGGCTATTTTGCATTCATTAAAGGATTGAATGTGCTTAGCTGCCAAATTAGGGTGTCCCTTAAAACTCCTCTCATCAGTTAATGGGAAGGAATTGCTGTATCTTCAAAGTCTGGACACACCAAACCTCAAGCAGAATTCTTCATAGCAGGCATATTATAGTAATCACATTTAATAATGTTTTGTTCTTCAGTTAAATTTCTTCATTTCTGGCTTTCATCAGAACGGGATGCTTAACTTAGAGCGGAATCAAAGGAATGTGTCCAATTCAAGGCTCTTCACTGTGCCTCATTCTTTGGGGGATGGAGTATTAGAATAACATCGTTTGAAAGTCAGAAGGCATCAGCTCCACTGTGGGGAAGCTTAATGACTACAGAATTCCAAAGAAAGCCAAGTTTTTCTTTAGCTTTGGAACATTATCCATTATAATGACTAATTGCTCCGCACGCTACTGTGTACACTGAAAATACTTTTTCCTTTTACAATCGCTGGGCCTATATGGATACATAATTATAAATGAAAGCCTTTACTTTATGCTTAAGAGTCACTCTTCGATTATACAGTTCTATGGACATTGGCACTGATGTGAAAGGAAATGTTCTAACACTGAAATCAAAACACAGTAATAAAACATCATTTCAGGAGCAGGTTCAAAAATCTCATCAGAACTTATCACAAATTCTGACCTCTTTTCTGCGCATCTACTAAAAATGCACTGCTCTACTTCCTATCTTCATGTTTTTGGCTCAGTAAACATTTCTTAAGCATTTATCTGATATTTTATGGAGTTCTTTTCTTAACTGACTTCATATTTGGGAGTGGTTTACATTTTAATGCAATGACTATAAACAGATGTTCCTACTTTCACACAGTGTCCCCTACAAACATTTCTTCCTCATATTGCATTTATACCAAATGGAGGAACAATCATGACAGATTGCCATTAACAAAACCTGATGCCCAATCAGTGCTTATCTTTACGATTTTCGTTTCTGTGAATTTGGACAAGTTTATGAAGTCATGAAAACACGAAGAAGTATTGTATCAAATAGTCTCACTGACCTAAAAATAGTGCCTTCCATTGTCTCTATCCTCAGTGTTCCTCCCAAATTCTTGGAAACTGTCGACCTTTTTATTGTTTGTGTTTATTTAGGGTTCATTATTTTCCAGAACATCTTGCAGTCACAGTCAAACAGCATCAGGGGCTTTTCACAAGAACTTCATTTAGTCATTTACTTCTTCAAATGCTTTTAGATTTTTTCCTCTTTTTTCTTGATAACTCCTTTCTATTTTATCTATGGATATAATTCCACTTTATGAAAGTAACAGCTTGCTTAACACTTTTTGAAAGACATTTATTGTTACATAGTTTTGGCAACTCTGAAAACAGCTTCTTTGTGTTCATATTTTCATGCACACAAATATTCAGCTCCTCTGACTAAATGCCAAGGAATCCAATGCTGGATTGCTGAGGAAGAGTATGTTCAACTTTGTAAGAAACTGCCAAGTGATCTTCCTCTTCTTCACTCCCATTAGCAATGTAAGGTTCTGTGCTCCACATCCATGCCAACATTTGTTTTTGGCAATATTGGAACTTTAGACATTGTAGCAGGTATGCTAATATCTTTTTCAAAACATCACACATCCTATGTCCTCTCATTTGTAAGGGTTATGGTGACTTCGTAAAACTATGAAATAGGTAAAATTAATCTTTGTAAACCATCTATTTCTATTCAATACAATTCATTCTTTCTCTTATAGCTTTCTGTATTTATGTTTCCACAGTAACTGTTTTGTGTTCCCTCTGCCTCTCCTGTGCTTTTATCCTACTGTGTCAGAGTAGCACTGTTAATGAGTACTGAGTAAATTCTAGAATTCTATTCTTTTAAAACATATTTTTATTATTTTCATTTTATGTGTATGAATGTATTCCCTGCCTGTAAGTGTACCTGTGTCATGCAACGCCTCTGGAGGCCAAAAAAGGTCATTGGGTCCCCTGGAACTTGTTTTAAGGACAGGTGCTAGCTGCCATGTGGGTGCTGGGACTTTAACCCGGGTCCTCTGGAAGAATAGCCAGTGTTCCGCAGTCCCCAGAATTCTAGTCTTTAATGGTAGGCACTGTGTCTCTCATTTGTTTGTATAATTTGTTGAATGCACCTTAACAGTCAAGATTTTTGAGAAAAATTGGTTCAAGTGGCTTCTGACTTTAAAAGAGATGAAACCTTCATTTTTTCATTTCCATAAGCTTTGACACACAATTCATGAGATGATGAATGTCGTAACAAATTCAAGTACGCCATTTGATGAATTGCTTGTAGTCGTCCCCTTTTCTCTTTCAACTGTCAGTGAACTACTGTCACCAAGATCCAAAAATAGTAAGTGGAAAATACCCTAAATAGTTCATGAATTTCAAATAGCTCACCATGTGAATTACATGAAGTCTGATTGTATCCATTGTCTTCATATGTGCGTCATCCTACTCAGGCTGTATAAGCTTCATAACAAGAAGCTTGGTTGTCAGAGCCGCTACGGAATCTCAGGGCTGTATAATCTTTGCATGACTAATGCTGTGTCTAAATGACATCCTCCTCCTCCCTTCATCCTAAGTAGGAACTGCACCATCTCATGGTCTCATAATAAGTGATTACAGAATATTTCTGAAACAATCTATTCTCAAAACTGTTGGGAGCCCGAGGCTCAGCCATTTCTCAAAACTGCTGACAGACCTGAGTTGGTGACTTTCCATTCTGCCTGCCATCCTCCCGCAGGCACAGGACAGAGCCTGCGGCCCTGGGCCCATGGCCTTGGCCTGCGGCCTTGTTCTCCTTTCAGATTCCTCCCTTAGGGTACATCTGGGCCCCTGTGTTCTGGCTGATATGATTGCTCACTCTTTGCTCCTTTGTTTTCATTCTCTATTTAACCCCATGCTTGAGCTGCAATAAACGAGACTTGATCAGAGCCCTGTCTTGTCTCCATTTCTCTTGTCGCTTGCCTCATCCATGGCCACACTCCCCAATCCAGGTACTCCGCATTGCTGATCCCATGGGCGCTACACAAAACTATGTCAAACAATACATTTTCATAATTATAATTATTAATCTCTATAATATGTAAGCTTAATTTTGTCATTAGAGCATTTGAATTGGAACACATGTTATTTAGAGACTTTTATATGATTTAGGATGCCAAAGGGGTAAAATTATTGGACTATAATACTACACAATTTGAATCACCTGGGACTCTTAGTGAGGAATTATCTAGATCAGATTAGACTGTGGGTATGTCTGTGGGAGATTATTTTAATTGTATTAATTGATGTGGGGAGAATCAGCCTAAAGTGTGTGGCAAAATGCCCTGGGTCTGTGTCCTGTACTGTGTAAAAAATGGAGAAAGAGGGCTGTGGGTAGGCATGCATACATCATATCTCTGCTCTTGACTGAGGGGGTGAAGAGCTGCTTCAAGTTTTTGCCTTGACTTCCTAGGAATGATGGGCTTTAACCTGAAATTGTGAGCAGAAACAAACCCTTTCTCCCCCAAGTTGATTTACAACATTATTTTATCACAGCAATAGAAATCTAACTAAGACAGTGAAGATCAAAGATAGTGAACTTGCTCTGTATCTTTGACAAAGCTTGGTATATCCAAACTATTTAAGTTTGACTATTCTTATCGACATGTTAGTATCTAAGTAGATTTAATTTTGTTTTTCACCTCATGAATAATGATGATATTAAACATGATTTTATTTACATGTCGGCTATTTAGATATTTTATTTTTTGAATTGCTCACTCAAATATCTGTTCATTTTTAACGTAGTTTGGAATGGTCTATCATTGATTTGCAATAGATTTTTCCTTAGAGCTCCTTGCAATATTTTTGTTTTGAGAATATTTGTTACCAGTTGAAATTATATCTATATGTGTTAAATCTAATTCTTTTTTAAAAATGATTCATTTATTTGTTTACTTACTTATCTATGTATTTATTGAGCAAGTCTATGTCTATATATGTGTGTGCATGTATCATGACTAGTGAGTGGAGGTCAGAGGACAGTTTGCAAGAATTAGCTCTCTCCTGCCATGTAGGTTCCTAGAACTCAGGTTGCCAGGCTTGCAACAATTGCTTTTACCCACTAGACATCTCACTGGCCTGTAAAGTGATTTTTTTATGTCATCATAGCCAATAAGTTATTATGTTTATATTATACACTGACTTTTTTGTCCAAATTTAGAAATATTTGAGTATCTCACATTTTCAATTTCTTTGTTTACTGTCTTCCAAACTTGTTTCACTTTATAGTGCACTTTAAGCTAAAATAGACGGTTTTTAATTTGAATATACAATTCTCATCTAGTCAGATAGAAACTATAATATCACAAATAAATCAAACTGTTTTAATGATATCACCCAGCCAGGACTTTCTTCCATTTCATGGCTGACGATTGCATGATCCATTGTGTCTAGAGCAGGTAACAGCTTTACCTTGGAAGGAAATACATCATAAAACTTAATTCTATCTTAAATCGATAGAGTCTGACAATCGGTGGTATCAGTGATAAAACTGATTTATTCCAGGAGTAACAAATGCTGTCATCACATAATGCTATTGATTCTGCTTATATATGTAAAGTCTTCTTCCAACTCTGATGTCATTGGCCATTTAGAGACTGACATGTTTTCATATGAAATTATGACTTAATTAAATGAAATAGCATAATCTTCCCTTAGTGACACTGGACTTTACCTACTCAGATGTCTTCACTGTGACAGGACATCTCCCTTGACTGATGGAAAGATAGTAAGATTGCCTGTTGCCAAAATCGATCCATATGTTCAAAAAATAAATCTGAGTCTTTCAAATTCATCATAGCAACTCTTAAACATAAATCTTACTTGGCGATGTTCAAGACTTGCTTCTAAATAACCATAGTAAATCTGACACCAATAAATCCATGATTGTACAATAAATTATTGAAATAAATAGAGGTGTCAGGTGTCAATTGTCTGTAACTAAATACCTCAGAGAAGCACATGATGATCTATTCTGGATGCTTCGTTTGACTGCATGTGCAAAGTGCAGCCCACAATTAACAGGGTAGTGATCAGGGAAGCAAAATGTCAGGTTTTCATTACAATGGGCTTCTGATCTGGGCTTACCTGTTCATGCCATTTTCAATCCTTAGCAATTTATTGCACATTTTGAAGGTTTTTCTTGTTCAAGGCAGAATAAAACGAACACTGTGTAAACAGCTCCATAGTGTGGCTCTTATTTTATTGTCCTCGTATTTTTAGGATCAAACTCAAACAAACAAAAGAACAGATTTATTTTGGTAACAAAATACTTTTTTTCTGAAAAGGAAGTGACTATTTTTTCACTTTTCCATGGTGACATGCACAGTATTTCAAGGTCATGATAATTTGGAAAAATAACACCAAGTTGTTCCAAGTCCAATTAGGATAAAAAACATGCATGAATTTACCAAAAATATTCATTTTAAATATCTTTCCAAAGACATTTTGGCTTACCATTATTTTTCTTATTATAAGGATGAATTAAAACATTTTGATCAAAAATATTTATTCTTTTTATAGGCTTCAGTTTGGTTATGGAAGTAGATAGAGTGCTAGTGTGCTGAATTTCAATATCAATATTATATAACTAAAATCATTGAATTGAAAATGATTCAAGGGCTAATGTTCAAAATAGAAAAAATCACCCTTTTAATTTAATGTCAGGACTTCTTGGTGGGCTTATGTGTACACATAATTATTTTCTAGGGTAAATAATACAGATAGTACTCACTATCTGCATTAGTGAGTTTGTACAACTAGAAGTGGCTATACTGTGATACTTTGGCCTTCAGCAAAGAAATCATTTCATGGGTGTGTGTGTGTGTGTGTGTGTGTGTGTGTGAATGTGCCCATGTACACATGTATAAAGATCACAGGAGGACATCTAGTGACCTGCTCTATCACTATCTACAGGGTTTCTCACTTAACCTAGAGATAGTCCCATTTTGTTTGGTTTGGTTTGTTTTAGTTTGGTTTGGCTGCCTGAGCTGTCCACCAAGCCCCAGACTCTGCTCACCCTGCTTTGTGTGCACTGGGGTCACAGATGTATGCATTGGGGTTACGCCTGTGTGCCACCATGCTTGACTTTCATGTGGGTCCTGGAGATTTGAACTCCGGTCTCCAATGATTGTAGAGCAAACTGTCTTATCCATTAAGCCATCTCTCCAGAACTGCATTTGATATGTTATAAGTTCTTGCCCCCCTAAGTTGGTGTTAGATACTGAGTAAACCTTGTGTAATATAGTACTTAGCATATTAAAAAGTTAAATAAAAATCAAAGCCACATTCGCTGTTTTAAGTTCAGACAATTTATTCTAAATAGAACACAATTCTATATCATGGAAGGACAGGGACATATGTTGAATAGTAAGATGATAAAAATTCTGAAAAACTTGGATATTAAATTCTTTTCCTCTTGGCTTGGTTCACAACAAATTTGTCCGATTCAGTTCTTGTACTCAGGTTGGGGTGGTGTTTGCATTCTTGAGAAGTTGGTTCCCCAGACCAGCATTTTAGTAGAACCTGGAGAATCCATATCCTCCATAGGAAATTGGGCAGCGGTAGCCAAACCCATAATTTCCAAAGCCAGAGCCATAGCCACAGCCACCAAAGCCATAGCCATAGCCCAGCCTGCGGAAGCTGCCACATCCACAGCCATAGCCGGAGTCCAGGCCCCCGAAGCCACCATAGCTGGAGCCCAGGCCTCCGTAGTAGCTGCCGTAGTAGCTCATGGTGTCAGGGATGAGTTTGGTTACTGGTCAAGGCAAGATCCTGAGTATGAATGTGAACGTGTTCAGGGCCTGTTTACATACCCAGGCAGGAGCAGGTGGCTAGTTCCATGCATATCCTCTGTGTCACACTAGGTATTGCTTGGAAGTTAGCAAGTCATTACTCTGCTATCTCCTGACACACAGAGGCTCACATTCTCATTAAAATATTTCAGATTGCTTAGTGTTCTATTTAGAATGCCCTTGAACTTCTAGCTTTTCTTTTATGAGAAATGGTTGACAAGCCAAATACACATACTTCAAACTGTAAGTAAAATGGCCCATTGCCAAAGCTATTACATCATCTATGTGTGGTGGGGATTTTTTTATATCAATTAAACATTTCTTTTGCTGTGTTACCTCTCAAATTGATAGCTTGGTCTACAGCTAAACTCACAGCTATTTGTTTACTATGTAGTGGTCGAGTACATATTTATCACAAAGCAAACTCACCCATGAAGGTGAGGAATTTTAAAAAACACGTCTATTTGTAGTACATGACAAAAGTCTAAATAAAAACAGCTTGATGATCTGCTTTGTACATTAGACTGTGGTTTCCCCCCACGGTGCATTTTGAATATATTAACCTTTGTAATGTTTCTATATTTCACACCAGGTTCAGCTCTCTTGGCAAGAAAATATGTGACAAGTAATTGCAGAAATTGAGAACAGAATATTTTTCTTCTGTTCAGGCTTATAAGATGAGGTCCAGAGTGTGCAGGGTGGAATGGCCATAGACTATGCAGGCTTATCAGACTCCCGGTTTGGTTTTCATTTCAAATCCCAGATCTTCCTTGTAAAATCACCTCTATTCAAAGTCCTTCTCAGACTGCAGGGTGTTCCTGCCTGTTTTCCTCACCCCAGAGAATTTCTTCTTGGACCGTTTCGCCTGTGCTGTGTGGCCTCTTTTCCTTCTCAATGGACTTTCCAGTTCCGTTTCCTCCTCAGTTCACCCAGATCTTTGTTATACATGTTTGTGTCTGCCTGCTTGTTCTCAGTCAACTTTGAGCTACTCTTTGTGTTAATAGATTAATAAGATATCATCTTCAAAAACAAATGCCTTGGGTTTCAATAGATATTTAAAACTTAGGTTGTCTTTAAAGCTTACAAAACGAAGGCCTATGGTAAAATGACACAGAATTGAGAAATGTGCGTATTTCATGTGGCTTCGTAAGAATCAGAGTTCACTTCACAGTTGGCCAACCAGCTCCAAGAGTGATTTCCTTTGCCATTAATCCCAGGTAGCATTTGGCTTTTCACTTTGATCACTAATTACTCAAAGTATATTTTATTTATATGATTTTCAGCATGTTCCTGGTTTGCTTTTTCTTTCTTTGAGATTTGTGTTATCAAAAACAAATTTCCTGTAGAGAATGGGTCAGCTGTTAGAAACAACAAACTAAGAAAGTAAAAATGGCATGTGGAATAAATAAGAATTCTAAGTTGATCGGCAATAATCATGATGGGTCCAGAATCCATTCCATGCACTACTTTGACTATAACTGAACATGCTGCCGTAGTTTTCTCTTTTCTGTCTTCCAAGTACTGGGATTATAGACATGAGCCACAAGTATGAATTTACACAATGCATAGAATTTATCCTAATAATTTTCAAATAATTTTATATGAATAGTCTTCCATTCCAATTTCTCATATGAACTTGAATTAGTTGAAAAGCCAAACTTCTAATTCTCAGTGGAGCCTATTAAAACATAGATCCAGGGCTAGAGAAATGACTCCATGGTTAATAGCATCTGCTCCTCTTGCAGAGGACTGAAGTTGAGTTTGGGTCTCAGAATCCATATCATGGATGAACAATTGCCTGTAAATCCAGCTCCAGGGGATCTGATGCCGCTGGTCCAACAGGCACTTGGGCACAGTACACCTTTCTACCCATACACATAATTAAAAATAATAAAATTAAATCTAAAATAAAAATAGGTACAGAAGTGAATCTTGATGTATTAAGGCTATCACATTTCTCTTATAACTCAACCAGACAAAATTAATTAATTGCTAATTTTTTTGAGATGTATAAGTATATGGTCACCTGAGATAGAATATCAAAATTAAGCAAATATAAAAATTGTCAAATCAAATAAATCACTATCATTTTTACTGTTTTTTAGTGAATGAAGTATAACACTTAGTGACAAACAAATTATATTAAAATATTTTATTGAGTTTTTGTGCATTTCATATGAGAGATTTTAATCAAATTTAGACCCTTTCCCCCATTTGTGTCTCCCATACCCCCATCAGATTTCATGCATTCTGTCATATATATTAAGTCCTATCCAGGCAAGTTTTTGCCCCCAGATATCCCTCGTTGCAAGTTCATCCACTGGATTATTGATTTCTAGCAGTGAAATATCTAACGAAAGATATAATATACAACAAAAAATTTTGTCTTCTCAAATTGTAAAATCAACCAATGTGGATGCATCTATTAGGGAAAAATTCTTTGTCTATGTGGAGATATTTATCGTATGTTGAATTGTGAACCCCAAAGGCATTCAGCAAATAATTTTAATTTCCCTCTTTACAGTTTTAAATTACTCTGAACCATGTGCTTAAACAATAGGGGGAGGTGAAGTAATGCATTCTCCCCTGGGAGGTGTGACTGCTCTTACCTGTACATATAGAAAATTTTTCAATTAATTTCCAAATATTCCCATTACTCAGACATAAATCCAGAAGGAAGAAAATGTATGATCTAGAATAAATTAATATTGTATTGTACAAGGAATGTTCTAGGCGATTTTTTTTTCATTTCAATTATACATACAATTTATTTTCTCAGCAACTTTGTGATATCTCTAGAAGTTCTGGAGCTATGTGACCTATATGAGAATAGGCTACTATCAAATAAAATTTCATTATTTAAGTAAAATTTTTCTAGTGAGCTTTCTGCCTTGCTCTCTCCAGTGAAGAGACACTAACTGAGAAGAAAATGGTAAGAGCTAGCCACGTTTACCTTGTCTTCTCTTCATATTGCATAAAATGCACCAAGTCTTTGTAATAAAAAGATAAGGTCTTGAATATGGAGTATTAATTCTTCATTGCATCAAGGTACAGATAAGTTAGCAATGAAGACAGAAGATTTTATACACCAAGCTAAAAGTTGAACAATCGACATATCAAGAAATAAAGCTAAAACTCAACCAAAGGCAATTAACAGATGGAACTAGTCTTCATGACAATAACACAGTCTTATCCAGACGGCATTCAACTTTGAACTGTGCAATAGAAGTGAATCTGCATGGTAAAGGGACGCAAAGGGTCGGAAGTGAATACTTTTCTAGTAGTGGTTCTGACTCTTGGGATGACTCTAGGTTACTTGATTGTTTGAAGTTACCTCATCGGTTCCATAGCGGGCAGCATTTACAGTAATCACCGTTAGGTCCAGCCCTCCTCCAGTCGCAGCAATTGAATTTCACTAGCTCATAGAAGGCAAAACAAAAGATAGAAACAATATCCATTTGCTGAATATGACATTCAATTTTTAAAAAGCAATGTGTTCTTAGATATCGCATGCATTATAGTATGAAATGCCAGCAATGAAATATTTGTACTTTACAAAAAGGAAGGAGGAGAGAGGATGGGGGGAAGGAGGAGGGGAGGAGACAGGGATAGGAGGGTAGGGGGAGAAGGAGGACAAAGGGAGACAGAGGGGAACAGGGAGGGGGACTAGGACAGGCAAAGATAGGAGGAAGAAAACTCTTCTGGACAAAGAGTGATGATTCTCACCAAGTATAATTGCTTAAACATTCGCTTCTTGATTATCTCCAGATGTTTATTTTGCACTTACAGTTAGGAAATATTTAATGTTATAAGGACCATGATAGTTAAAAAGGAAAAGTATCATTGTAAACCACAGAGGGACTAGGGTCTAAGAAGTTGAACCTATTAAATATTTTTAATATTATACATATCTTGAATACCATATCTGAAATATTTTAGTAATTGTATAAAACAACTCTTTTCATAAAAATATCAAATGAAATGACAGGCCATTGTGACAGAGCAAGGAAGATATTGAAAAACAAAAAATAAATAAATATACTTTGCTTTATAGAAGTTTAGAGCAATGCTTTACTTGATCATTTTTCTTACAAAAAAGGAACCATATATATTCAAAAGAAAACATTATTCATGTTTTGCAATGCACTGATAAGTACTTTGTAAATTTCATTAGAATTTGCTTTATTAGCGTATATATACCCTTCAAAAGGCTGTCAACTTTATACCTAAAAATTGTTTTTAAAATCATAGAAATTAATATCATCTGATACATTTGATCAATCATATTAATTTCAGTCTGTACATTGTCTTTTCTATCTACATATTGATTTGTTAACCCACCTATGAAATAAATACTTAATACTAATGGAAGTATATTGATTTCCACAGTGGAAGTTTCATAATGTTTACACTTCCTAAAAAATTGAATTAAATTAAAGCTACGCTTACTGTTCCCAATTTGAGGTCTTTCTTGAAGAAATCTAGATGGCATGATAGAGACAAACATATAATTAGAAAAGTACTGAAAATCTAAATTTGATTTTGCTCAAACAGACCCAGCATTTTGGTTGATCCAGTGATTAAAATCAGGCTCAGTAGCATGAAGAAGAATAGTAATAAAAGAAATAGTAATAAAAGCTGCAGAATCCAATTCACTCATTACAAGATTCAGAGCTGCAGTAGTCATATCTACAAGCCTCCAGATAGAGACAGTCCAATCTGGAAGCTGCTCCCTTTGAATCTCTGGCCAGTGCAGGAGAGTAACAGTAATTCCCTCAGTAACTCATGCCTTTAAGAATTATAGGCTTGGTTTACAGCTGCATCTGTATCTCTTCAAGTATGATTCTTCACACCTGAGTACAGCATTTACCCCTCAATTACAGGTGTGGTAAATCATCCAGACTCACTGCATTTTAATTCCGCAGAAGCAAATGTGTGCAGCAAATCTTCTGGGCTCCTTTGTTTAGTATGTATGGAGTTACCTTCCATCTCCGTAAAACTTTTTAACTTTTAGCTCAGTTAAAATTTCTCTAATTAAATTGCGTCTGTGATGAGAAGTATTATTTGCAGCATCAAAGATTGTTCTAACAACAGGCCTTGCATAAACTCCACCTCATTTCAGCTTCTGAGCATCTCTGCCATTCAGTCAAACACCTGCCAGTCAGCACATCACGACAGCATCTTTCAGCATCATTTGCTTTCTGTACGTAGTTCTCCAGGTTCATGACTATTCTGTCACGCAAGGACAGCAGTTTCAATCCTGCATTCAATGGACATTAAGATATCAACCATCTACAAATCTTTGATTTTAAACAACTACTTTCTTTTGTGTAGTTAGAAGCCAACTTGTAACTAATGTTATTGAGAGCATCTCTCATATTTTGTATAGCTTTGATTTCTAGTTTTTTGACAAATAATTGAGATATTGATATCTCATTTATTTTATTTTAAATACATGAAACGCTTCACGAATTTGCCTACCATCTTTGCACAGAGGTCATGCTAATATTTTTACTGTTCCAGTTATAGTATATGTGCTGCTGAAGCAAGCACTGATATCTCATTTGAAAAGGCATTTTGAAGTCTCTCTCTCTCTCTTGCTCTCTCTCTCTCTCCCCTAACCAAAGAAAAAACTATTCCTTGTACAATATTTGAGCCTAGTTTAAGCTAAATGTGCATCTTCCTAGGCAATGATAACTATAAGAAGATGAAAAATTCCTCTCCTATAATTGGCTGCCTCTGGAGATCCAATTTGACACCAGACCAGAAAGAAGAGAATTGACCTATTAATCTACTCACATAGGTACTGGAGAGAATTAGAAAATACATACACAAGGATAGTGATTTTTCTACAAAGCATAGCCTAAAGATAGTTTGATACCTGTCCATGTATTATAATTTGGTCATATGTTTAAATATCATAAGCAGGAAATGAGCAGTTAAGAAAGCATGTCTTAACATGCTTCTAATGAAGTGTTTGCCATTCTTTTATCACAGTATTCACATGCCTAAATTTGACAACCAGGAAAGAGATTTCAAATGTTCTAGGAAAATATCATCATGCTTTATTGAGATGATTCAAATGACTCAAAGAACATTTTCCGTGAAATAAATCAGTTCCACAAAGATAAATGTCACATTTTCTTGAATATGGAAGCTAGTAAACGGTTTAAAGAGAACATGGAATTAAATGGAGAGTTATTAGGAATGGGGAAGTAGAAAAGAGGAAGAAAGAAGGGAAATGAAAAATGGCATTAGTGAACAGATCAGAACAAATTATATACATGTGCGAATGAAAATTTCATAATAAAACTTCTTTGTACAATTAGCATATGCTAATTAAAATGAAACATCTCATGCCATTAATTTAAATCTCTTCTGAAGTTTTTAGTTCATTGAACTATATATACTTGCTGGTTATTTGCATATATTATTCATTGAAATCGTTAGTAATGGCACTACCACAGACAGAACTCTAACAAGCTAGGAAATACAGTACCTTGTGTTTTAAAAGTTACCCTTTTGAAACTATTTACTACTACTCTTATTATTGTTATAATTATTATTTTGTGTGTATGTGTGTGTGTGTGTGTGTGCAACTTGCATGTGGCTATCGGGTCCTGTGTGTGATTATGTGTGTTGAGGCCAGTGATCCACATGACACATGGTGTCTTCTTTAGTTGCTCTCCACCATATATTTTGAGAGAGGGCATCTCACTGAATTTAGACCTTAGTGACTGCCTAGACCATATGGCCACCTGACTCTGAGGATGCTCCTGTCTCTCTCCAAGCCCCAGCACCAGGGTTCCAACCTTTCGCCACAGTCTTTGGTTGCCTCCCAGAACTTGAAGGCAAGACCCTGTTGCTGAAGACAAGACATACTTCCAATACAGGACTTGGAACAATGGAGCAGGAATTGACCTGGAAGCCATCTCCCTGATGGCTAGCTCTCATATTTCTAGAGGATACTATGCATGCGGCTAAGGAAGAAAATCAATCAACGGTCCAAACCCAGCTTTAAAGCTTTAAAGACTAATAACCACAATGACCAGAACAGCAAGTTATAGCTGTGAAGAAGTGGCACTTTTATCTTGGGAGCAGTCAACAGCTGTCTAATTGGAATTAAGGTCTACTTAGAAGGAGGGAACTCATGGGTAGCACTCTAAAAATTGTCAAATAGTCATGACTGGAGAGGTCATAGTTCCTAGTGAATATTAGTTTAAAAAAATGGTAAATTACCAATGAAAATTATAGGTCCATATTGTTTGCATAATAAAATCTATTAACTATCTAATAAAAAAAGAAGTGACAGTAAAAATCCATACATTAATTCAAAAGATAAACAGCATCTTCATTATGCAAAATTCATGGAAATTTTAAATTTAAAATGCAAAGTATCACTAAATATAATTTTTATTGAAAACATAAATGAAAATAAGCATAATTAAGGATATGTGAGCCATTGATTAATAACTGTACATTAATTCTAGAGGAATTTAATAAAGACCATTAAAATAAGATGATAAAATATGTGAATTGATGAAAGACTATCATGAAAATTATATGTTAATTGAAATCATAATGAGGGCATTCATATGGCACAGATATTTATAAATCATCCCAAACAGGAAAGGATATTCAGATTGTCTAAGACAATATATAAAATATAAAGTTGAGGAATTTGCATTAACTGTCTTCAAGACTTATTGTTCTAGAAAAATCTAGAGAACATTAAAATGAAGTGCGTATAATTTTGGAGGGCTGGAAATGGGCTTTATTGTTCTACAAAAACTCAAAAGAAAACAAGGAATTTCAACAAAGTAGTGCTGGAACACTGGCATATGAATACAGAATAAGAGGGACATGAACATGACATTTTGTTAGGACTGTAAGTAAAAAGTCTTCCTAAATACATTATGGATCTGATTGTAATAGATACATTAAAAAATGTATTAGAATTCTTTTGTAGTACTCTGTTCAAATCATTCACTGTAAAATAATACACCCTGAAATGGTCTTCATCAAGAACAAACCCTGGCATATGAATACAGAATAAGAGGGACATGAACATGACATTTTGTTAGGACTGTAAGTAAAAAGTCTTCCTAAATACATTATGGATCTGATTGTAATAGATACATTAAAAAATTTATTAGAATTCTTTTGTAGTACTCTGTTCAAATCATTCACTGTAAGATAAAACACCCTGAAATGGTCTTCATCAAGAACAAACCTTGGACTGACAAAAAAATACACATTTTAAATAATATGTACATATATGCATATTCATATAGATTGATATGAGTGTAGATATCTATTTACAATGAGTAAAACAAATCACATATAAATCAAATTTAAGAGAAAAACACATACAAAAGACTTGTCCATATTAAAACCAAAATATAAAATTTCTCAAAAGCAAATGAAAAGCATCTAATAACAGTAGCTTCAGAAATATTAGGGCAATTTAAATGAAAACCACACATACCAAATGCTACTTGTCAACAGAAGTATTGAAATTTAAAAGTGTAATGTATCCATACCCAGTAGAACATGATTTAGATTAATTAGGATTTGTGTGACATTCCCCATAAGATCAAATCTCAACTGCTTCTGACATATACTAGGGCAATTTTAAGCATGCTTGGTGGCTCAAGTCTGTGTTTGGAGCACTTGGGAGGCAGAGGCAGATGGATGGTGAGTTTGAGGCCAGTCTGGGCCAAGTAAAATAAGACTCTGACTTTAAAATATTAAAACAGTCTTTCCACCTCAGAGCCACAGTAAGTAGACAAATACAAGGAAACTATGTTATTTGGACAACATGAGGTAATTATATATATGAGACTACTGTCCTTGTAGGAGCATACACAAGAATTGTGCAAACCCAAGTCAGAAGAAGTTCTAGGATGAAGAGATAGGGAGACAAGAAGCCCCAGTCCTAGAAGAGGATCTATTGGTAATTGGTACCTGCTGGGAGAGGCAAGGTCTTTTTTTTCTTTACTGGTGTGATGCCTACTAGGTTGAGCAAACTCCAAAAATAGACGCATTTCCAAAAGCACGTGGGATGCACAGATTATACTCAGTAAACCGTTAAATGGAAGAACTCTAAGGGAGGTTTCCTCTGCCTGGTAATGTGGTTTTTGTTATACAGCCCTCAGCTATACACATGAATTCATATATACATATATGTGTGTGTATTGTATATAATAAATGTATATAATATATATCATATATATAGTGTATATTTTTCAGTAGGCTTTTGAATTAGTGCATTTACATCTGGTTTTTCACACCACCTAAGCATTATTAATCTCTTCTCTCTCTCTCTCTCTCTCTCTCTCTCTCTCTCTCTCTCTCGCCTTCCCTGTTACTCCCCAATTAAAATATTCTCCATTTTCCGCATTTCCCCTTTGATAACACCTGTCTCATACTATCCTTCTCTCAAGCCCCAAGACACTCCAAAATAGCCCAGGCTATTACCACAGCCCTTGATTGCCTCCAGGAACCTGAAGGTAAGACTCTGTTGCTGAAGACAGAGCATACTTCTGACACATGATTTGGAACAATGGAAATGGAACTGATCTGGAAACCTCTTCCCTGAAAACTAGCTCCCATAGTATCAGAAGATGCCATGAAATCTGCCAAGGGAGAAAACCTATTAATGATTCCATTGAACTGTAAAGTCCAATAAACAGTGACTGGTCCAAAAACCATCTCGATGGGTGCAATAGTGGAACTTTTATCTTGAGGGCAATCAACAGTTGTGTAATTGGAATGAAGGAGCACTCAATGGGAGGGAACTCATGTGCGGTACTGTAAACATTGCCAAATCCACATGGCTGGAGAAGTCATAGAGCCTAGAGAACAACCTACCATCCATACTCCCTAGAATGACATAACTTCTTACTATATTCCAAGCCTGTATCCTTAGACTTACAGACAATTTTACATTTTAACACTCATCAAAGAAACTTCTTTTTGAAACAGATTGAGACTATTACAAAGTTTGACAACTGCTCAATGAAGAGAAAACATGTTTTGAGGTGTCCAGTCCTAAGTGACATTATCTAAAATATGGCTTTTATTCCTAAGGCTCAGGGAACAGAGAAGAACAGGGATAGAAAGAATGTTAATACATCTCTCACCTTTCACCAGCAAATCTTCCTTGTGTAACACCTGGTAATTAACCCAGAAAGCCACAAATGCCCAAAGTCTAGAGAGTAAGACACTGCAGAGTGCTTATCACTGAGTAGGACCTTATATCAAACCTCTGCCACCCAGGAATTAGGAAGCATTCAGGAAGGGTGGGTGGAAAGAGCTAAAAAACAAGTGACTGATGATCATAAGGACCGACAGTTTTTCAGGCAGCTGGGAAGTTACTCATATAAGCTTGCAGCAATGGTAACAGCATGTACAAGATCCATGCAGTCTGTAGCCATAAAAATTCTCAGCATAGAAATGGGGAAGTTAGTAAGAAGCCACAAACTTAGTTGAGAATCTATTGATAACCAATAACTACTAGGAGAGAGAGAATCAGTTTTCTTTAGGTACAT